TCGTAAGTTTATTTTGTACTCATCATAATCGGAGCTCGCTGGAATCAGTCTTCTTGCGCCAATCAGTTCGGATGAGGCAGTCGAAATCCAATGGTTTTTACTCACCTTTGGATTTACCTTATTCACAGCTTTCACAGCTGTATCTATGGCTGACTGATTATTCTTCCAAGCTTCTTCAGGGTGAGCACAGCTGTCGAACTCAGATATGTGTTTAGCTACTTCTTCCTCAAATAGGGATTTAGTTTCCAGATCGAGCTGGGGACGTGATGGGTTTACCGCCAGCTGTTTCCTACGTCCGTTCAGTCGTAAGAACACACGAGCGCGGACCAGTGCGTGATCGGTATCTACACTCGTGTTCCAGAAGGAGCGACAATCTCCTACCGACCCACGCCAACGATAGCTTATTGCTATGTGGTCTATTTGTGTCCAGCGTTGGTTTGATGATAGGGGTCGCCAGGTCAAACAGTGTCCCTCCTTGTGTTTGAAGTTAGTACTTACAAGAAACAAATGATTATCAGAACAGAACTGTAAGAGACGGTCACCGTTGTCGGTTCGCTGGCACGGGACTCCATAGGTGCCACCAACATCCTTCTCAGATTGACACAATTTCCCTACTTGAGCATTTAAGTCACCAGGTAGAACAACTATATCTGAGTGTTTAGCCTTTCGCAGCAAACTAGACAGCTTTTGGTGGAACACATCCTTCGTTTCATCCGAACTGCAGTCAGTGGGGGCGTAGGCGAAGATTACGAAAAGGCATCGGCGAATAGTCCACTCCTTTCTCCTTCTTACTGAACCGTTTAGACGGACAGCACACATTCGGCTATCTACCGTGAGCCAGTTAAGTAATGTCTTTTCTGCCCTAGTACTCAAAGCCATCCCTACGCCAGCTAATCTTCGTCAACTAGCTGTGGCATCTCCTGACACCCTCAAGATGAATTTTGCAGATTCATCCTGTTGGCCAGGTGGGGTTAGGTGAATAACCACACTTGGGTGTTGTATGCGTGTTTCTGAAACACAACATACATCAATGGCTCGGGATGCCAGGGTCCTGGCTAGTGATGCTTGTTGTCCTATTTGGCAAAGCGTCCTAGCATTAAATGCTCCTATATGAAATTGGTGGCGTGGCTTTAGGAGACTATGGGTAGTGGCTGCTTGGCTTCCGTCGTTTTTAGTGGACACAGAGTGAAGAGGAAGTGAAGAGCCATCAAGTAGAGGAGTTACATCAGTGGAAGGAAGGCAAGATAATAGAGATGAAGATGAAGACAAAGATGAGTGAGGATTAGAGAAGTTTCGTGTGCATTTCGGATTGTAAGGGCGATTGTTACTTCCCGGCTGCCCACACCGTGGAAGTTGGTTGCGTGACCCCAGAGCCCAGGGGACAACTGCTTGAGGCGGCCTGTTTTTGTTTGTTCTTTATTGTTTGGTGTGTCTCAGTAGCATATTTATCACTCCTGCCCTGTGACACGGCAGCAGGAAGCGCGGTCGTTGTTAATCCGGGCCCCGACAGATCCGGCATGATGTTTTCTGAATTTGTTCGAATCATGGTATTGGATTGGATAGCTTTTTGTCTAACCGCTATCCAGACAACCTTTCTGGCATAGTAGGACCTCAAGAGACATAAGTCTCAGTCAGTATAGCTTGTTGGGACATTGCGGTGTTCAAGCCCGACCACCACGTCAAGGTAGCAGCTTTCGGTCGGGGAAGGACCTGTGTCTATATCCTATTCAGGGAGGTGTTGGATGTTCGGAAGGTTGAGTGTGGCTGTAGGCCAATAAACTGCTCTTCAAAGTGTTCTTTCTAGCGTTCCAGTCGTTTATCCTGGGAGCTAATTATGGTGTCACTTTCTCAGAGATTGTTTCACTTATCATTTGCCTTTTACCACCTGTCTCCCTGATAAGTCTAAATAGTTGTCGGGTGTTACCGAGCGTCGAAGCCTTCTCCATCTCATTGGCTTTCGTCGCCCACCACTGTTCACGGTCGTTGCGAAGGCTTCTTGTTAGTTTTCGTTTGAGTAGCTTTCCCTCCTCATCATAATCGGAGCTCGCTGGAATCAGTCTTCTTGGGCCAATCAGTTCGGATGAGGCAGTCGAAATCCAATGGTTTTTACTCACCTTTGGATTTACCTTATTCACAGCTTTCACAGCTGTATCTATGGCTGACTGATTATTCTTCCAAGCTTCTTCAGGGTGAGCACAGCTGTCGAACTCAGATATGTGTTTAGCTACTTCTTCCTCAAATAGGGATTTAGTTTCCAGATCGAGCTGGGGACGTGATGGGTTTACCGCCAGCTGTTTCCTACGTCCGTTCAGTCGTAAGAACACACGAGCGCGGACCAGTGCGTGATCGGTATCTACACTCGTGTTCCAGAAGGAGCGACAATCTCCTACCGACCCACGCCAACGATAGCTTATTGCTATGTGGTCTATTTGTGTCCAGCGTTGGTTTGATGATAGGGGTCGCCAGGTCAAACAGTGTCCCTCCTTGTGTTTGAAGTTAGTACTTACAAGAAACAAATGATTATCAGAACAGAACTGTAAGAGACGGTCACCGTTGTCGGTTCGCTGGCACGGGACTCCATAGGTGCCACCAACATCCTTCTCAGATTGACACAATTTCCCTACTTGAGCATTTAAGTCACCAGGTAGAACAACTATATCTGAGTGTTTAGCCTTTCGCAGCAAACTAGACAGCTTTTGGTGGAACACATCCTTCGTTTCATCCGAACTGCAGTCAGTGGGGGCGTAGGCGAAGATTACGAAAAGGCATCGGCGAATAGTCCACTCCTTTCTCCTTCTTACTGAACCGTTTAGACGGACAGCACACATTCGGCTATCTACCGTGAGCCAGTTAAGTAATGTCTTTTCTGCCCTAGTACTCAAAGCCATCCCTACGCCAGCTAATCTTCGTCAACTAGCTGTGGCATCTCCTGACACCCTCAAGATGAATTTTGCAGATTCATCCTGTTGGCCAGGTGGGGTTAGGTGAATAACCACACTTGGGTGTTGTATGCGTGTTTCTGAAACACAACATACATCAATGGCTCGGGATGCCAGGGTCCTGGCTAGTGATGCTTGTTGTCCTATTTGGCAAAGCGTCCTAGCATTAAATGCTCCTATATGAAATTGGTGGCGTGGCTTTAGGAGACTATGGGTAGTGGCTGCTTGGCTTCCGTCGTTTTTAGTGGACACAGAGTGAAGAGGAAGTGAAGAGCCATCAAGTAGAGGAGTTACATCAGTGGAAGGAAGGCAAGATAATAGAGATGAAGATGAAGACAAAGATGAGTGAGGATTAGAGAAGTTTCGTGTGCATTTCGGATTGTAAGGGCGATTGTTACTTCCCGGCTGCCCACACCGTGGAAGTTGGTTGCGTGACCCCAGAGCCCAGGGGACAACTGCTTGAGGCGGCCTATTTTTGTTTGTTCTTTATTGTTTGGTGTGTCTCAGTAGCATATTTATCACTCCTGCCCTGTGACACGGCAGCAGGAAGCGCGGTCGTTGTTAATCCGGGCCCCGACAGATCCGGCATGATGTTTTCTGAATTTGTTCGAATCATGGTATTGGATTGGATAGCTTTTTGTCTAACCGCTATCCAGACAACCTTTCTGGCATAGTAGGACCTCAAGAGACATAAGTCTCAGTCAGTATAGCTTGTTGGGACATTGCGGTGTTCAAGCCCGACCACCACGTCAAGGTAGCAGCTTTCGGTCGGGGAAGGACCTGTGTCTATATCCTATTCAGGGAGGTGTTGGATGTTCGGAAGGTTGAGTGTGGCTGTAGGCCAATAAACTGCTCTTCAAAGTGTTCTTTCTAGCGTTCCAGTCGTTTATCCTGGGAGCTAATTATGGTGTCACTTTCTCAGAGATTGTTTCACTTATCATTTGCCTTTTACCACCTGTCTCCCTGATAAGTCTAAATAGTTGTCGGGTGTTACCGAGCGTCGAAGCCTTCTCCATCTCATTGGCTTTCGTCGCCCACCACTGTTCACGGTCGTTGCGAAGGCTTCTTGTTAGTTTTCGTTTGAGTAGCTTTCCCTCCTCATCATAATCGGAGCTCGCTGGAATCAGTCTTCTTGGGCCAATCAGTTCGGATGAGGTGATAGTAATCCGCTGGCTCTCACTAACTTTTGGTTTTAGGTTATCAACAGATTTTACATCTGTGTCTACAACCAACTGTATGTTGTGCCAGGCTACCTCAGATGAAGTCCTGTTGTCGACCTCAGATACATGTTTCTCTATTTCTTCCTTAAATAGGGACTCAGACTCGCGATCTAGCTGGGGGCGTAACTGCTTCGCTGCCAACACGCATAAATGTGCGCGAAACAGAGTTCGGACATGCACAGGCTTGACATTAAGTCGTTCTAATATTTAGAAGGAGCTAGTTGGTCCCATCTCTGATGAAGAGAATCGTTTTTGAATTTCCGTACTGATCATACCATATTTTCGACAAGCACCAAGTCCAATCACACACATTATTCTTATAATACCTGGAGTTCTCACTCTGTCCTTAAGCCTGAACTCGTATAGATCATACTGCTACCATCTACCAATGTATAAGGAAATAAAGTAGTGGACATTTTCTGCAGTTTATGTTTGGATCTTGACGAAGTTTCTTTTACTTGGTGATAGACTTTATAAACGTCGCGGTGAACAAGTTGATTTAAGCGAATCAGATACTCTTAATGTTGAAACCACATAACTACTGATATTCCATAAAGTGTTGACAACAGTGGGTGAAATTACACGACCTCAAGAGGATAGCGATTAGAGTGCCTTGAGACTGGAAACGTCTACTTTCAGATACTAGGTTTCTGAAAGTAGTGTTCAGTTATTTGACACTAAATGGTACATTCCGTTGGATAATGAGTAACACCATAAATGTGAGGCTTGGTGATTAGAATATGCACTCATGCTTTAAATAAATAAAGTTTTTATTATTAGTAGTAAAACAGCAGACTGCTCGATAATGGGACACAAAATAAAGTTAGAATAACTACGATACCTAGACCATTATATATATTTTCATTTATCATTCTGAAATTTTACAAGCATATCACAATCAAATCCCGATAGTACTTTTATCTAATTTATACGGTTCTCGATATTATGAAGAGTGAATAATTGCTGAATTTATTCTTCTGTATTCTTACGAATTGTTTCCTGTACAGCACTGATCAAAAGTTCTAATTCTTCTTCAATTGTGTTACTAGATGCTCCATCATCACCACAACCTGAAAAAGAAAAAGAAGTAAAAGATGACTGAACTCTAGTCAGATATGCACGATAAATGATGTCAATAAAAATTATCACTTAACTATACAGTGAAGAAATACAAAGTTTTTTTTCAATTCGAAAAGCTGAGCGTTATGAAAAGCAATTAATATGAATATGTCGTTACTGAAAATGTAATTCTTACCATAAGTGATAGTGCTCGATTGGTTTAGACAGCTTGTAAGGTTGGCACATTAGTCTATCTACCGGAGTTCGAGCAGACAAACAATGTTTGCTTCATTCACTTAGAGCATGCATCCGCACGCGTTTTTATTCCAAACAGATGGATAAAAGGCTAAAGGATAAAGGTCATTATCATAACTTGACGGGACTTAGTGCAACGCAAAAATTAAGCAACGTATCACAACAAAGTGTGAAATTTACAGACTATCTGAAACTATTTAACATCTAGTAAGCCAAGCAATACATCAAGGAAAGTTGCACGCTTATTCACAATACTAAATACTACTTTATAGCGCAGCTCACATACACTGATAAGGCGAAGAACTGCACCTAAAATATAAGTGTCCTGACAGTATTAACCAGCTACAGAAGTGATTTATATTTTGTGACGTAATAACCGTATGTTGAGCCTTTATTGCAACCAACCAACTTTCATATTCATAATAACTATATTACTTCAGAAATACAACCAATGTACAAATAAGCATTATTTCTTAGCAACACAAACTGATTAAAAATATTTTACCAATCCACAAAAAATATATAAAGTGAACAACTGGATTTCATACGGATCCGTAAAATAGAGCTTACTTCGTAATACTAAGCGTTGTTCTTCATCCATATTATGTAAACGAATAACATTATTTTTCCAAACATTGAATTCGGCCAGCAATTTCTGTCGTTTTTCGAACAATTCTCTACTAGCCTTCGAAGCAAGCATACGATCCTCATTTGCCAATTGATTATTATATTTGGACATATTTCTCTTGATATTCTATTACATGAGGATAAAGTGAAGTGAAGATATTAAATCATTGAATTTACTCTGGTAAACAGTAAATTAAAATTTATTTGCATGACGATCACAATGATTCAGTGATTGTTGTCCACCAGAAAACAGCACAATAAATAATAATCAACGACCACAGCCTTCCCCTGCATCGATTGGCATAGCTATGATATCTGTCTATCTGCATTTATTTGCTGATTAAATTTATCTGAACATCGGTAAATACGTTTAAACTCAGACATTATCAAAGAATGCATTATTAACTAGTCAAGTAATTTACGAATGAAATATTTAAAGTTTCATATATTTGCCACAATGAACAGTTCGAAAAGACAAAACAGATGATGTAAAGACGGTCGTCTGGTTACAATAATTGTTAACACTATGACTTGCATAGACAATCCAGGTTTTTGCAGATTAAACGAAGCTGTCAAAATGATAAGTACCGACATACAGAAAATCACAGTTAAACTAATCATAAACCTACAAAGTTAATACAAATTAGTCTCTATCGAAATAATCTCTTACGAGAATCACAATGTCATACTATTTAACAGACCACAATAATATTACTTCTATGACTAATTCTTTCATGTGAAATTTAACTTAATAGAGAAAATTTACCTGTAACTGTTCTGCAGTAAGTAGAGTTGGTGGTCGTGGTCTCCAGTTGAATGAACGGATACCACGTAAACTCATTTTGAATAAACAACGACCAACACAATTCCAAAACCATATTGCATTATCATTTTTCTGGTAGAAACTAGTTACAGTAGTCGCTAAGTATCTTCCTGTAGGATCCCAATGCACATCACTAACCATAGCGTGCTCGCCTTTAGCTAGAATTTGCCCCTCATCAGCTGAGATGAACTCAATTATACCATCAGCACTAGATCGCAAAAATACAAACAAGAGTTTACAAAATAATAATAGAGACAATTAACATAGTACCGAATAAGAAGCGAAGTAGTGAAATGTAATAAAGGAAAAAATTCATTGGAAGTAAGAGAGTAATAACCTGACCAGTAATTCTTTAGAATCTATAATATTAACCACATAAATTAAAAGGTGATGGTACCTAAAACAGTTGAAGCTATTCAGACTAAACTCTCTTCAAATTGAAAAGATGAGAAAGCTAGACAAATTACGCTATTATTGGCTCGAAAAAGAAATTGTCAAATAACCGCTCTTTCTGACAATCAACACAGAGCAACATTTTAAGTCATAGGCTACTGAGACATTAAAATTTACGAGTTGAGGGTTTCTTTACTGTTGCCCCACAGTTATTGAACTAGTCACATTTAACCAAGTTGCTTTATTCTCTTCACCTGCACCTCATTTATAATGTGAAACAGAAACATGGTTCTGTTCACCTTCAGTCACACCATTTTTTAAATACAGTTTAGCTTCCTCTATTACACTGCCTGCATGAAACCCGTGAAACACATTAATACAAAATAATTAATTTGCTTCAAGATGGTATCAGGGGTTTTCTCCCAAGTTATAGAAGATGCAGAAATATTTGGAAGACTAACCTTTTTAGGCCTGATGCAACAAGAAGTCCTCCTTTAGGCGCCCAGCGTATATCATTGGTTCGAACTGAAGCAAGGTCAAGTACACAAACTTCACGAATACTGCTTCCACGAGATACATCATATATAGCAACTGATAGTTTGCCACTAGATACGGTTTGTAAGAATGCAAAACGTGTACCACACGGCTCCCATCGAAAGTTCGAGACAGATGCTTTAACTTCTAACTGATCAACTGGATACAATTTCTCTCGTAGACGAACAATTTCGAAATTTGTGTAGGTACCCTGTGGTTCAAAAGAAATTATGGAGCATTTGACTCGAACATTTGAGAAAATAAAAAGGTAGATGATGATACTCTTGGTGACTTTATTTCCTACAGCTGTAAACATTGTAATTTTGCATCATCTACGATAGTGGCTCGTTATAAATATTATTTAGTTGAACATAACCATAATCAGGTAAAGTGGAGATAACGACCGCGAGACACAATACAAAGAATCGCAAATATGATAAAAGGTAAAATCCAATCACAAAAAAGCACAGAAACCAGAAGACGAAACACATTTGTTAGAGAGGTTGAGCAATATGTAAAAATCATACTTAAGATGAGATGTGATTAGGAGATCCACAAGGAGAATAAAGCTTAGTTACTAAAAACTGAATACGAAAATATAGAAAAAAATCGTTTGATCTAAAAAAATTTGACTGAGTCCACTACAGAAACTTGAACTGAACAAAGTTATGTACGTAATAACTATAAATAAATACAAACCATCTGAAGATAGGAATTAACGTCATAAAAATGTAGAAATACCGGAAGTGAAAACGTAAAAGAATAAAGAATGGGATTTCTTAATGCTTTAAAATGAAATGTAGCCTAACGACCATGCACAGGATTAAACACAAGGCTACCTTTATGACTGACTCATAAACACTAACTGATGAAACGTCAATGATTTGAATGAGAATTTATTCCCTGACTTAATTGTAGGTTTATAAACCAGTTTCAAAGCAAACCTCTGTAGTGTGAAAATATGCATTGTTATATAACACTTTTCGGCTACCAGTTCAAGCACTTGAAAGGTATTCAGCTCCTTATAAAAATGTTGAAATTCCATACAGATATTGCAAAACTTTAAAACTATCTACTAAGGAACTAAATGGTCCGAATCCTGCCTCAACATAGATTTCCGTTTTCATCCCTAATAGATACCTATTACATCACTGATAGTCTGTTAGTCAGTTCAAGGCTATTCCAGATAGTCAGATGAGCAATCACGTATAAATTCAAAGATCAATTAAGAGAAATCAAGAGGAAATTATAATCATTAACGCAAACAATGAGTTTATATAAATCTACCTTGATTTCTAAAAATATATAACAGGAAGATGATAAAGCAATTTATCATCCTATTAAACAGTAGAGTTGTAACAGTAGAAGACGAAAGACTTAGCAAAAGAATGTTTATGAGGAAACTGGTATCTCTATTTAGCCAAATCATTTATACCTTATCTTCAACGCATCATTTGCACAGATCTTTTGGGTTTCTTCGTGTTCTTTTCATGTCTCCCATGTATCTCCACAACGCTGTATCATTTGCCTTCTCATAAATCACATGTATCTCCATGTTATTTGATGATTTTACGTCGATGAACGCCTCTTCATATACTACTGATAATTCTTATCAGTAGCACGCCATAGAATCAAATACGAATAATATGGTGTAAATCATGCATACAATGAACTTTGATGGTGCTAACGAATAGAGTGGAAACTGACATAAACCCTGGACATTAATCTCATATTCTTTCCACTCAACTAGCAAAGAGATATTGCACAGTTATTAAAAATAAAACCATAAATAAAACCTTTTTTGAACTGAGATTTTAGAGACAAAATTTATAAAGCAAACGAGCATAGGAAGGAAGAAAAAATATCTGAGGACGATCGATTTAGGAATCTTAATATAATTACAAGTAATACAAGTTCGTCTTCTATCTAACGTTTTCCATTGAAATCTTTTGGCAGTTTAAATAGGTAAAAACAATCATGACTGTTTTGTTATGATTATTAGGAGGAGGTTCACTAATATTTTTACGGTGAAACACGAAAAGAAATATTATAGAACAACGGTTTATAACTAATTGTTTCTACGTTTTCAAAACTGTCAGTAGTGAAATGCAATTTGACATTTCTTCTTAATTTAGCACCAATGTCACTGAAAAAAAAATTGTGAACCGACCATGACGATGGGGATTGTCCATGTTTACAGACAACAGTTAGTTGTTTGCATCACACCAGATGTCTTTGTAATTGGTGTCTTAAATTAAGGTGCACACTACACCATTCAAGATTAAAGCATTCATGTAGGATTGTTGAGTCTCATTAACCTTTAAAAATGAATTTTTGATGGAAGTCGATATTTTGCATACACAAGTGATATATTTCAGCCAAACTGCGACCAAAGTATCTTGTGTGACTATTTTTTTCTTCAGTTATTCTTTCATTCCTTTCTTCTCCTCTTCTACCGAACATGCATTACTAAGTAACCAGTGAAAAAGAATGAAATGAAACAAAAGTCATATGTAAACTTACCACATACTTGACTTGTTTTTCTCCATCTAACTTCTTTTTCGCGCACCTTAACACTTGAACAGCTAGGAAATCACCTTGTTCGTGCCACAAAAGACTGATTTCAGCCACAGAAAACAAGTTTTTAGTACATATTTCTTGACGACTTGGTACTTCCATCAGAACAACCCTGAATAAATTGTTGACAGTGCATAATGAGTTACATAATTTTCAAAGTGGACACTGTGGAATACTGGTAATCAATGTTTGCTAAATTAACTAGAAAAGTATGCAGATGACGCATAAGTCAACGGAATGTACTCATTCACTTTGTGAACACTCACAGATTTTTACACTTAGCAACAATATCTACTACCTATGATGACAATGTTTGTCACATTCACATTTGTATTCCATACATCATAGTCTTAAATGAGACTTAATGCGTGAAGTTTGATAGAAAACAATAAATGTAGAAATCTACAGAAACTTTACAATATAGTATGCACATAGAAAATCATGTAACGAAGAAGTTGCGTGTCGATAAAGTAAGGGATGCTTTGATGTTCTCTCAGCTTTTACATTTGGCCATGGACATTTCACCATAAGGATTGGTGCTATTTTCAGAATTTACTGCAAAAGTATAAATGAATGCTATAAGGACTATAACCCGGTCTAGTTTACTAGCCGGTCCAAACCCCAGATAAGCATGGATAGTTGGGTGTGTGGCTGGCGACCCTAACCCGGAAAATCAACCCAATCGCTACAGAAATCTCAATGCACACTAAAAATATCAAACATACAATTATTCTTCGCTGGAATAGGAGACAAAATGACGCAGGCTGGTGAAAGCATTCGGGAAGCCAGTCAGAAGCTGCGAAAACTGCTTCGATTACAAAACAAATGAGAAAGCACGGTTTGGAAGTGCTAGGAATTTGTGAGAGAAGGCAGAATGGATGCGGAATCTCCAAATTGTTGAATGGAGAGTGAATAATCTACTCCAGTCACCAAAAAGACAACCCCGGTCATACTCAGGGAGTGACTATCATGATGTCACCAACAGCATCTACGATAATAGTAAAATTCATATCGGAAGGTGGAAAAGTTACAATAATCAAATCTTACGTACCCACAAACAACGTAGATCAAGAATAGAAGGAAGAATTCTACAGACAAGTAAAAACATTAATAGTCAAGACCGCGACATCAAAATCCAAACAGGTTATATGAATACCGAAACGGTAGAAGAAAATACAGGAAGCGAACTCATCATAGTTCGATAGGCTCTCGGTGAAATGAATGAGGACGAAAAATTCTTTCCAGACTTGTGCACCTTCAGTGATTTGGAGATTGGAGGCAGTGCGTACAAACACAAAGACACGTACAAGGTCACATGGGTTTCACCAGCAGGACATAAAAAATCAGATAGATCTCATCTGAATCCCAAGGAAGTGGATATAAAATCACTCGGAGCAGATGACTGATCAGTCCAAAGACCCATGAGGGTCGAGTAAGTCTTTAAAGAAGATGAGGATTCACCAAAATTAAAGTTTAACATTCAGAAACAGAAGGAAGAAATTACAAAGAATACCTACACTGCAGCTACAGAGCGAATTCGGAGACACTATGTGGCATCACTGAGGAAACCTGTGTGGAAGAACATTGAAACTCTCCGAAGCTGATGTACGAAGAAACGTGTACAACCATATTAAGATGAAGGAAGGAGGCAAGACGAAGAATTACTCAAAGGATACATGGAAGATAATACATGCGAGCGGGGTGATGAAACAGGACGAAAGGAGACGCTTAGTTCAATACACAACTCATTGAATAAAGAAATAAAGAGGAGTGCTAGCAAAGACAAAAGACAATTCTACAAAATACTGGCTGTCGACTGAAGTACAATAGACAGACAGGTAAAAGAGACCTCAAAAGATCTGGGGAAAGATCAACGCAGCAGACATCCATAAATGATGGTCAAGGGAACCCAATTACCACAGAGCACAAACAAAGGAAACAATGCTATGATCACTTCCAAGGACTTTTCAACCGATCATCACCTGCAACTCGTCCAGAAATACCAACAACACCACGCACACAACTGTCTACCTGTGGACACCAATCATCCAACAAAAGCTGAAATCTTGAATGCAATCAAGACACTGAAGACCAGTCAAGGAGGCAACAAGACCAGACTAAATGCTCGAGGAAGCACTGGAAACAGATCCAGAGACTGAAGCAGATATATGCTGACGCCATTATTGCACAGTGTTTGGAAGGAAAGAAAGACACCCAGGGATTGGAAGAAAGGCCGTCTCATCAAACTACCAAAGAAGGACGACTTACGCCTCACTCTGCAAGAACTGGAATAATGCTCTTGACCACACCAAGTAAAATACTTAGTCGCGTCATCCTGGAGGGAATATAATATGCACTGGATGCAGGCAGCACTCCGCCAGTCAGGAACAACCTGGATTCTCGAAAGGCAAATCATGTGTGGATCAAATTGCCAAACCACGCATCATTATCATCAGTAGCAGCATCGACTCCGAAAAGGCCTTTGACAGCGTTGACCACGAAGTAATTTGGAAACCACTTCGACACTACAGCGTGCCCCGAAACATTCCTCAACCTCATTCAACTTCTACATGATGATAATGATGTTGTCACATGTCAAGTGATCCACAACGGAAAACTCAGCAAAGCCTCTAAAACAAAGACACCAGTGAGATAAGGCTCTCTAATATCACCGATGATATTCCTGATTGTGGTTGACTGGATCATGTGGTAGACTGTGGGGAACGAGAAGACTGCAATACGCCGGACCAATAATAAGATTCTAGAAGATCTGGACTTCTCAGACCATTTACGTATCTTGTCACACAAACTCGAAGACCTGTATGCGAAAACCAAATTAACTGGCTGAAGAAGCAGGGAAGAGAGGACTCCAAATGAACATAGACGGATGATAAAGATAAGCATGCAACAGCAACCGGAACCAGTCACAATCACCACGAGTATTTTGAAGGAAATAACTTCCTTCACTTACCTATGAGGCATTATTTCAACCACAGGCGGAATGGATCATGAATTCGAAGCCAGAATCGGAAAGGCAAGACAGACCTTCATCAATCTGAAACCCATATGGAAATTTGCTTGCTCCACAGAGTATGAAAAACATGATCCGAATTTTCAACACCAATGTGAAGTTAGTTCTTCTATGTCGTTGGGAGACTTGGCACTTGACGAAAAGCATTCGCAAAAGGCTCCAGACTTGCAGGCAGCTACGTTCGACACATACTGAAGATCAATTGGCCAGAAAGGATTAGCAACAAACAAGCCTAGCAGTAAAGTAACCATGAGTCTAATGACCAGCAAATATGCCAAACGATATGGGGATGAGTCAGATACACGCTGTGGAAACTGACGAGTTACATCATACGCTAGGCCCTCGAATGGAAATCGAAAGGCAAACGAGCTTGTGTCTGAAGGTGAAGTCGAGGCTGGTATACGAAGAGGGAACGAGAGTTTATGGGCAATCATAGGGTAGCCAAAGAGAACTACAGACAACTGGTAGTCAACTGTGCGTCGGTAGCACAGTGGTTAGGACTCTCGCCGACCATGCAAATGGTCCGAGGTTCGAGCCCTTGCCGGCGCACACCTGATATCTATGGTCGGCCTGCGAAATTTGGGCTACCGATATCCATGCTGAAAATTCCATACCTGTACCAAAAATACGGTGTGGAATCAAGCTGCAATCAAAAAAATAAATAAAAGAAATAGAGATACGTTGTTTCTGAAGTCCTATGTTCCTTCTGGAACGCGAATGTGTAATAATAATAAGTACCATGAATTTATAGGACTGGCGCCCATCTACCTTTCGATAGTCATAATGATAATCATAATCCAGATGACGTAAAGCTTTAAATTTATCTCGAAACCATAGTACCACCAGTAGAAAAGTTTGACTCCCAATGAAAGTCAAAAGTGGATGCGCTGACAAAATTCTAGACACGACAAATGTTCACATACTCCTGTTTTCAAGCAGACAAGTTTTTAAGCAGCTCGCACTGAAACTAAACACCTACTCTATAAAAACATTAAATGAATAACTATGATACCTTTAGGAAGATAAAATTTATGACAGACGTAGATTTTCTGTGGAAATTTGACAATTAATACATAACACATACTAACCTGGCTGGTGTATTATCAGATTCTGGAACCCAGTATGCTAGTATATTGTCAGATGGTGACCAAGCAAAATCACGAATATTACCACCCAGCTTTTTTTTATCCAGCAGCCTAAAATTGCTGGTGCAGTAAATACTAATGACACCATCTCGTAAACAAGCAAAATATTCATCTTTTGGAGACCATTTAAACGCTGGATAGAAATCGATTGGAACCGTGAATTCTCTGCGACTTACACACCGTTTCACATCCCAAACAACTGCATCTGCACGCGGACGATCTTGTTCATCAGTGGAAAAATTAGCGCTTGGACTCATTGTTATCATGAAACTGTTTGAAGATGTAAATATAACGTAGAATGATTTACACTGAATAGCAGATAAAAGGTACATTTAGATTAACTGTTCCGGAGTTCACTTTCAAACTATTACATTACTTTAATCAGATCGATATTCGACTATAATCAAACACTGGACACATTTGACGACCACCAAGGTACAACTTTAGAGTAAATGACAGTCACTAATACTGAATGCACCTGATTGTTGCAGCTTTGAAGTGCTGGTCAGACTTACATATCTCAACCAATTAACAAGCTATAATGACCAGCACGAATGTTCCCACAGGTTCGAGCATAGCTTAGGTGGGTTGAATGGCGATTAGGCTAAAGTAGTGAAGAGTGTTAAGACGAAGTCGAATTGCTAGCGGATTACGGGTTATAGTAGCCGTAAGAAGTTTTCTTTGGGTGACCAGAATACCAATGATGCTACCTTAAAATCCTGGGGAATACACTTTAGAGAAAATCCGAGGTTTTATTTCCCAAGCTATGAAATTTCAGCATGAATAAATAAGACTTATCAAACATTTGTTAACTTGCCATCTTCAGTGCTGGTATGACAGAGTTACTCATCAAAAGACGCGTGAATTATGCAGTAGTTTAATCCGCCCTCCACGACGGCGTCACTAGTGAAAACAGATATGGAAAGACTACAGATTTTTCCTATAAGGCATATTTTTGTTTAAACCAACAATCAGCAATTATGAGTTTAGGTGTGAAGTTAGGCTAGGAGGGAAAGTCAGGTGGTGTGATGCTACCCCAGTTAACGGGGCTATGCATGCTCAGCTATCTTCTCTCTATTAGCAACGTCGCCTAAAAGTAGTTGAAAAGGAGTTAGAGATGGAAAAAAATTATTAGTTGTTAATTCGCGTTACTCAGAAAGCGATAGATTGCCTCGCTGAGGTTCTCAGGAAGTCTAGAAATAATTAAAGATTTTCGGTGATATATGCACGTACATATATATATATATATATTGCCGGGTGCCAACTTTAGCATGAAGATAATAAAAATGACTGATGATCCAAGCTACATTTTCGAAACAAATCAATTAAAGTTAATCAAAACTGACATACGATCCATCTTCATTAATTCAGCAATTAATACTACGAAAACCACTACTAATGAGGAGCATGTATGATGTTGAAAACTCACTTTTCCAAAGGTGAAAAATCTATAGTTTTGACATTTGTATGTGGAAATCGTCCAGCCCTCAGAAACTTCTCACCGCCCCACAAAATGACACCTAGAGGATGCATTGTTGCCAAATAAGTCCCCCGGGGTGACCACCGCATCCATCCCTCAGTCCAACGTAGACGTTCTTCAGCAACAACAGGTTCGGCTGCAGTATGCCAGTAAACGCAGCCTGTGTCGCCATCATTGTACACAACAGAAAACTGGTCCCGACACAGTTCATTTAACAACCAACTTTTCAGATTACCCTGAATAAGATTGGCATGAGTTAATTAAATACAACTCACCAAATCTTTATATTCTTGTTTGGGTGGAGGCACCCATTCGGTAGAAACATTTACTGCTCGTTCAAAATCAGACAGTAAGGTGATCTGGAACGTATGATTTTTGTCTAAAGGCACATTATCCAACAGACGAATAGCCAGCGATGCTGCTTTTCCATTCTCATATGTAATAAAGATGTATCCTTTTGTTTGTTTTTCATCATCCAAAGGGAATTCATGGTCCACTATCGGACCGATTTTTGAAAATTTATCCAGTAAGAACTTTTTGAGGAGGTCAAACTTAGCTGGACCAACAACAGGACAACCATCCACAATAATTGTAGAACCCAAATGATCTTCGGGCTCAGGTTTCAGGTCCAGAATATCAGATATAATTTCTACAGCAGTTAAAACAGACATGAGAAAACTTATCCCAATTTTTAAAACCAACATTAGGATTAGTCTTAGAATTTTCTAAACAGACGTATACAACAAGTGCAGATCACATTCTTCAGCCCCACGTACGTTTAAGCTTAATGTCATTGTTGTGCACTCAGATACAATATCACATCCAGTAAACACGACTGTGTGATAAGGTATACAAAAGGTACCTATCAACTACACCTATTTATAGCAGTAGGAAAACTTCAACTTCATATTTTGGAAGCCGTATTTCCGGAGTGCAACTTCCCCCAGAGTTAGATCTGCTAAGGAAGTACATTTAACTACAACCACAAAAAAGGAAGTCTCATTGCCTTGCTAATCACACTTCCCCGAAAGGATTTTAAATATTCCCAAACACTGAACAAAACGCATACAACCTCATGACAATCACTAGTATATGTCATAGTCAGTGCTATAATCACAGGAAAATAAAAATGTAAGGTTGTGAAAGGTACCCTCCGAAAAAATTCGCTGTGATTCCTTCACCAAGAACAACGAATATCGCGCAATCCCGGAATTAATGAATTCATGAAAGGACCAAATGATAATAACGACTTAGTTAATTTAGTATTGCCGTACTTCTTATTGAATTAACTCGCCAATAAATTTGCGTACCAAATGCTATAAGAACATACAAACGTAACAAAGTTAAGTCATAGCAGCCAACTTGGTGGATGACCAACAACCATTACTTGACTCAAGTGCTTAATCAAATCAAACTACACCTTCTGTTCCTGACTCGCTCAAATTCCCCTTAAATCAGATTACTTTCTGTAGGCCATCGACCAGGTTGTTCGAGCTGGTTGCTACAGTACAACTAAGTGTGTTGCTCGGTAGCTTCCAACAGGTTTGTTGGTTAGATTAACGACTCAAGCATATCTGCACCACCAGACTGAAATTATGAAGAGAAAATAACGTTCAAAGGCGAAATTATAAGAATACCAGTCCATGGACAAACTAATCAGTCATTTGGAAACAACAAATACCTCTGTCATCAACCTCAAAACCTGCAAACGAAGGCATCGTGAGAAAATTCAAATCAACTGCGTAGGACAACTCGTCAAGGACAAATGCTCAAACTTTTGAACATCTTTAATACTTCTATTATAAGTTCACTGAACAATTCATCATCACAAGGTAAAGCTTAAGAGCTATCAAAGGATTTCAAAGTGTTTTAGAGTGAAAAATCTCAAAGCGCATTAGAATCACCGAGTCATAAGGACGTTGTAGGTCTCAACATATCTCTGTTGAGGAGTTTTTCTCATTCTGGTATTGCGAGCGAATCACTAGTGTGAGCCATGTATTCTTCATTCCTCCTATTAGTTTTCTAAAAGTTTCATGCTCTTCGCTGCATCTTTGGAGAGCTTTCTTGACAGAAGTATAACAAAATGTCAAAACGAGCCACTAGATTTGCAGTAATGTAGGCTCTTTCACATCAAATTTTGAGTAGCATTCCGCTTTCCTAGTCTATTTTAGTTGAGCCACGCGAAATGATGAAAAAGGTGTATGTTTTTGACTATTCGCCAAGCTAGGTTTTCCACCAGATGTCAGGATATCTTTGAACACTATTCTGTACAACTATCCTTATTTTACGACGCGATGGACAATAGGTCATGCATGTATTTCAGGCTACAAACACTGTATGCCAGCAGAATTACTGATAATCAATTATATGATACCATATTAACATTTCGTCCGTTTAACTGCCAAAGGAACGGTTAAATTTTCCTTAGTGCTCACTTGTAAGATACAAACATTAAGAAACACTAAACAGGAGGGGATCTGCATATAAAAAATTGTTGCGCAACCCTAAGAATTCACTGATATCGAAAGCACGTACTAATCTTGTGTTTATTGTTAAGTCATTCTCGCTCATCTGAAATTTTAGGATGCGTTGAGTGCCAAGATCTCATAATAGTGGTTTTCAGCAGAATGGTTATCTGGGCCGGGCTATAGAGTCAGCATGTAGTGTGGCCATAGCTCTAGTCTAGCAGGTTGGTTGGCCACACAACAGTCACGAGCCTAATTTGTACTTCAGGTCATCCAGAAATGAGCTTGAAGTCGTTCGACCAGCCTCCAGAGAGCCACACAACACTAAGGCTTATCACACAATGCTTACTGCAACATCAGCAACGGAAGTGGGCTGCGTTCGCAGATGATCTTGTAAAATATTTAATCAAACTGCGGAGATCTAAAAGGAATGAATCTATCAATCCCCATTAGCTTTGCCGCTTCATTAGCCGATGTTGGCAGACGTGATACAGTTAACAGCAAGATTTTAGGGTTTACACCATCATTCTGAGTGAAAATTGTTTGTCCGCCCTGTGGGAGGACTGGTTATGCTATCACTGTTTCACGCCTACTAATAGGTACACCGGCTACCATTTAAGAACTAACTGCAGTATGGCGGGATGCGGGTGACTACACATCACCCGTTGTATAATGCGGGTAACTTTGTAAGAATACGGGGTAACTTAAATAGCACAGAGATGGGAAGCTATTATCTGGAGCCTTAACCGAATTAAATTTCCGGAATTTAGGGATCCATAGATGCACTCGCATTATCATGTGCAACTTCGGATACCACACCTCCTCTGCCTTACACAGACGTTAGAAATGAGCTGTAAGGAGCATTCACGCAATTGTAAGTGAGGTTCATACTGGAAGTGTATCTCATGATCCAAGCAATGCCAATTTTGAAACTGGATCACTGGTATAAGACTATGAAGGGAACGTAGTAGACTTCCACTCTTTGAAACAACTACTGTTACAGAGGAGACTCTCATCTTTCTACCAAACCAGGTAGCATTTCGGTTTTCATGCAGCTTCTTAGCTCACGGTTGAGCTTCTATATATTGCAACGCGAGTATACTGGGTTTGTGATTACTGTATAGAACACACTGATCAGAAACCCTTACCTCATCAGTTTTGAATCTGATTGTATTCAAACTCGAGAACAGTTTCCAGAATTATCTTTTTGTCTTTTATAAAGAGCAGAAAATCGTCAAAAAAGGAGTGTGGGGCAAAGAGTTGAAAGAGAATTTCAGAACCTATTTATTAGGTCTCCGAACATGATATGCCACTGACAATCACCAGTTTAAGTTAAGTCTATCCTCCAGTAAATTCCCGCATTTGCAGAGAGAACCAGCAGGAACGATTATATGCCTGAACTGGGTGCTGAGGAGCTTAGAGATTGAAGAAGTCATGCTGGCCGTGATGAGATAGTGTCAATTACATTGTTAACAAGTCTCATTTCTGCTGTATTTTTTTCTATTTGTGTTTTAAAATGTGTCACACCTACAGTTGTCACACGAAATTTGTGGCTTGAGTCTAAATCATCTATCTTCCCCCTTAATGCTGCCTAGCTAATACAGGTATGTAAGATAAGACGAAACTAGAATGATTGTATGTTATCTCTCCACCCAAGTGTGCTAATTCGACGCGGAAGGGCAGAGAGCAAGTAATCAAAATCAGGACAACAAATAAATCCTCCGGAATATAAAATAAATGTTGGAATCGGCACTGCTGAGTAGTAATTCCTGTATAACTAATTATATATCCAACACTAACAAGCGGACGCGACAGGGTGGCTAAATTAGCCAGCTAAAAATCAGCACCCAGGTTTGAATGGTCAAGAGGCTGCCGGGGAATAACTTAGGGAAGTTTTTCGTGATTATCTACCTTATCGTTTTTACAATGTCTTTTTGGGGACGGCTTTACTCAACTTTTGGCGGAATTACGATTTGTCACTTCCAAGTTGTCTGTAAGTGCCTCTTTTCCAAGTACATCAAAACTTTAGGTGTTAATCATCCACTTCTTTCCATCCCTTAAATCACCAGGGAAAGGTTCCACCTAGAAGAGCAGGGGGATATACTTAGAACTTTGCTGAAGGACATTATCAATATCACTGAATTTGAGCAGGTTCACACAACATAAGAGACGAAATTTAGTAGAATTGACAGCCACACACAATGTGTACCTATATAAAAGTTCTAACAGATTTCGATAGATTGAAAGTTCAAAAAGGTTAAAATCTAAAAACAAGACAGAAAGGCCCAAAAACCACAGGCATACACACAGCAGAATCTCACACATCAATGACGACCTGCGCCTCCAGATAAAGGCATCCTCTTGACATCTTGCAACACAATCGCCACTTACTAGAATGACTCTTGCATAACGCAACGTGACAATCGCACCACCTCATGATACTCTACGCACATCCTCTTATCTACTCACAACCAATTATCACTGCGATCACCTGTCACTCATTCTGCCTCAATTCTAGTAACGGTGACGTATGCAAGCCTAAGTCGACTACACTCTCGCTCCCCGGCGTATGAGATCACAGCTAATTATTATCTCCGTATGCATGTCATTCTCAGCAATAGCCTCCCCGGCGTATACGACCCATCTGCTGTCTCTAACATCAATCAATTCATTCACGGATGTAGAAGACTCGAAACAACTTCAGAAGTAATCACGACGAAAATTTTAACAAAATTACGCAATAACAACAAGGTACGAAAACAACGAGTAAACACAATGAGTCCCAAAAACACCAATTGATATGACACACCACACGTATATACAAACAGTACACATAACATCGCCGATCGCGTCTCGATGTAATTCCTTTGACGAATTGCAGGACTTACACTGGTGGCCCTGCAGCCCTTCTGCAGTTGACGAATGTAGGTTGAAGAATGCTTGGAAACGGACAAGATTTACCAACAATTACTGTCAGTCACGTCTCATAAACCGTTAATGCCCAGCTCTTGCTACGCTCGGGCCCACGCTGTTCCTAGCAGTTTTACAGAAACGCTTAGTAATAACGGACGAAAAACCAAAACACCGATTGGCCGCTTGGGAATTTTTTATTGTAACACCAACATATAAAAAATAGTTCTACTAAGGTCTGTGAACAAATATTACAATACTAAATCACGAGATTACTTCTGATGGTTTGCTACTGACTTCTTTCTGAACAGCGACCGATGAGATGATGACTGTCGTATTGATGCCTCCGCGAAAATTGGGGAAGTTGATTTTGAGCATACAACCAAGAATTGTTCGTTCAATCTTCAACTCCATTGACAATTACATTAATTGGAACACACTCAATCAATTAACACAAACATATGTACAGTGAATACAGCAAATAATGTGGATTCTGCCTTGAAGACCAACGTTTGAAGAATCACCTGTCAGCCACGTCTCGTAAACCGTTAATGCCCAGCTCTTGTGACGCTGGGACTCACGCTGTTCCTTGAAGTTTTCAGAAACGCTTAGTGATAACGGACGAAAAACCAAAACACCAATTGGCCGCTTGGGAATTTTTTATTGTAACACCAACATATAAAAAATAGTTCTATTAAGGTCTGTGAACAAATATTACAATAATGAATCACAATATTACTTCTGACGGTTGTCTCCTGACTTCTTTCTGAACAGCGACCGATGAGACGATGACTGTCGTATTGATGCCTCCGCGAAAATTGGGGAAGTTGATTTTGAGCAAACAACCAAGAATTGATCGTTCAATCTTCAACTCCATTGACACTCCCCGGCAAAAAAGGGATCCAACCCTTTTTTCCTTCACGACCAATGCACGTTGACTTGGATGCCATTGCGAGAACCTGGGTCACACGGACAGAGCTGAAATGGAAAACAAACAGAAAAGCCAACACACCACAAGCATACCCACAGCACAATCTCACACATCAATGACGACCTGCGCCTCCAGACAGAGACCTCCTCTTGACATCTTGCAACACAATCGCCACTTACTAGAATGACTCTTGCAGAATGCAACGTGACCATAGCAGCACCTCATGATACTCTTCAAGCATCCTCTTTTCTATTCACCATCAATTATCACTGAAATCGCTTGTCACTCATTCTGCCTCAGTTCTAGTAGCGGTGACGCATGCGAGCCTCAGTCGTTTACACTCTTTCTCCCCGGCGTGTCGGACCGCAGCTAACAATTATCTCCGTGTGCATTTCATTCTCAGCAATAGCCTCCCCGGCGTATACGACCCATCTGCTGTCCTT